TCTTTATCTTTATCTTTATCTTTATCTTTATCTTTATCTTTATCTTACATTATCTGTATGTTTATCTAATGATGGGTTTACATTCTCATTCTCATTTTCGGGCTGAACTCTCTAATCTGTAATTAGAAAAAAAAAGAGAAGAAAAAAAGATTAACCATACCAAATTATAATTATAAAATAATAAATAAGACAGAGTATAAGCGAAGCCGAAGATGAAGATGAAGACGAAGCCGAAGACGAATTGGTTGCGTTGCGGTCAAGCTGGCGAGTGTACATAGTGCAAGATGAGTGATATGAAGATTTGTTTCTAAATTAAACCCTCTTTTACAGATAAAATAAAAAGAAAATAAAGAAAAAACAGACATTTTTCGAATATACAGGAATGCCATTTAATACCTTTGTTTACATTTTGTCAAATTTCGAGCCATTTCTTGAAAAACGCGTTTTTTTTTAACAATTGCGAACAATAAAATAAAATGTAATCAACTCATCACAGCAAGCAATTTGTCTTTGAAAACAGTACCGCAGTTTCAAGCTGACCGCTTGCGCAACGTCTTCATCTTCGCTTGCACTGTAATCAGTTTCATGTGTTAATTACTGCACTGTTTTTCGTCTTCGTCTTCGTCTTCATCTTCGGCTTGGCTTTCACTCTGTCTGCAACCTTAGTACTAGTATCTTTTTTCACAAGACTGTAGCAAGATAACGAACTCTTCGTTATACCAGAATGCTTTACAAAATAATTTATAATGTTATCTGCTGTAACAGAAGTTGAAAATGGCAACAAATTCAACCATTTAGTAAGAGCAGCAACTTGAAGTTCCGAGTTGTAATTGGATCTAATAACATGCTGTTCGTTTCTAGGTTTGTTCGTTGAAAATCCAGCAGGAATTATCCAACACCCGAAATATCAGGGGGTAAGATAAAATTCTCTCAAATCCTCTTTCATGTTGAGAATCTTGCAAATTTCTACACGAACGCAAATTTGCAGGAACTTGCAAGTTTCCCTGCCAGCTGGTGTCCACGGTTGCATTTCAAACATAATAAATTTTTATAGAATTTTTAAAATCCTTTAAGATGGACAAAAATCAGGTCATACATGTATATTTTTCGTTTTTCTGACTTTCTTTAACATATATTTTAATTAATTTCTTTATCGTACTAGCTGTCGGGTTTCTTAAATCGGCTTTGGTTGCAATTGCATTCCGATTGCGAATAACATTTTTTTCAGCCGAGTACAGTTCAAATGGTGCTCCACAAAATTGTTTTGTTCTTGCTGAATGCAAAAGAGGCGAAGTACCTAATCAACAACAACTCCTATACGTCTCCCGCTATTCGCCACAAGCTTTTCTCCGAGTTGTCTGGTTTGTGTCATCAATAGCTACACCTCTTTATTTTCTATAATCCCACTAAAATGGCTGGAGGTGCCGGAAAACGACGTGGTGAGACTACTTCCAACGATGGAGAACCCAGGAAAACTCTGCTAATCAGTGGCTCATCACCAAATATTATACGCAGTAT